GTGTTTTTTAATAAAAATATGGGGATGTTGTTCTTGGGCTTTATTATTTTCAAATTGTTAACGGGCACGTCTGATTAAAATATTTACAAGCCCGTATTTCCGCTACACGCTTTAAAAAAAAATTGTGTTGATAAATTTACTCATTAAAAAAAAGTTGCTTCAGGGGCCTCTCTGGGATTAGGGACAAGGAAGCTTAAGTTAAGCTTCATTATTTTAATAGTATATCTGTCACTGAGTGCCACAGTTTCCATGACAACCTATCTCGCCTTGAATTAACAAGGTATAAATATTAATTGTTTAGGGAACAGTGTACTGTACACTGTGTATAACGATCATTCAAGTTCTGATTAAGCTAGTACAGCGTGTAGTAAGTAAAGGATACTCATAAAATAAAAATATTATATACAAATTAAAAAATGATTTTTACTACTTGCTAGCATAGTGATAGAGCTCCTTAAAACACTAAAACAGGTAAATTAAATATTTAACTTCTATCAACATAACTCAGGACAATATGATTCCAAACGAGATATTTATTGAGTGAGTAGATTTACAGATCGCGACAGAAGGAGGATGTGATTAATGTTTTTTTAAAAAAAAATTATTCAGTATTATTGTGGAAAAGGGAATTTTCAACAATATAGGCATTTTTTACGTATTTATGGTTATTTTTTAACTTTTATCAAAAACGACATTCTTAATCTTGTACATGTAGTTAATTATGAGTAATATGCAATTAATGATTTTTTAATTAATAACTATTTGTGCTCAGTTGTTAACATTCTGCTGATGTGTTAAAATTTTGGTATAATGCAATAATAAAAATTTAAATTGTATGTTGCGAACTGTTAAAAAAAAGTTTAATACTTGAAATTAGGTAGCTCCACGAGATTGCTTGTGCGAGTCTATCACGCACGAACATACATACATACAAAACCAGTTGAAACCATGCGCTAACCTTCTCACTCACACACACCACTCACATGCTGAACATACCTTGTATATACTCACATAATCTTTTCTAACACGGCAAATCTTTTAAGAACAGTCATTATAAGAGACTCTCATGAACATTAATCCAGTGAACTTTGAAATACTAAAATAACAGATAAAGAGACACAACTCTTGCTTATTTCAACCTTTTCTTACTTAAATGTATGCTTTCTTTCACATCGTTGTTTGATACTGTACATCTTGTTAAATTTTATGTGTAACAATGTCTTTGGCTTATCCTTTTCTGCGTCAGCCCTGTTTCCTAATCTGAAGTTAAATTAATGTGGTGAAGTCCGCCACACACTAAAAAAAAATCAGCATACCGTGATGAAAACATGCTCCAAAAATGTAATGATAACAGTTTTATCGTCAGAATGGAAGGATCAGAGTACTTGCAAATCAGATTGAAAGTGCACAAAACTGACTACATGAATATTTTATTAATTTTGATTAAAAAAAACTTGTTTTTCTTGCGTCGGCGGTTGTATTACTTACTTTTTAGCATAGCAAATTTTCGCCTCTTTTTTTTTTTTTGCGGTGACAGACACATCAATTTAGAAATTATTGCAAAAATTAAATAAGTCTCGGAGTTTAATGAAATTTTCAAGTCTTATTCACAAATGAATGAAATTATTTTTGAATTTTTTTTTATTAGAAAATCTCGGTACATATTTTTTTTTACATGTGTCTCTCCCCCTTAATTTTTTTTTTTTTATGGAAGCTTCAGAATTTCATCGAGATATAATTTATAGTGACTATAAATTTTAAAAGCAAAATTTTTTGAAGACTTTAAATTACTGATTTTATTTTACGAAACCGGACCCCGTCTTTCCGAAAATCTGTATGGAAAAAAAAAACAAAAACAAACAAACAACAAAAAAACTAAGACATTATTTAATTAGAGAAGTTTTTGATTGCTTTTATGAATAAAGACAATACTGTCAAAAAAAAAAAAAATTTTTTTTCAATGATTGAAAAACGAATTATTTTTTTTGCTTTCATTTTTTTATAATTTAAAATCGAATAATTTATAAAGTTTTTGAATCTCTTAAAGTTCAATTTCGATGAGATAATTTTTAGGAAATATTGTTATTAAGTAAAAGTAAAACTATAAATTACTAATCTTACTAATGCTATTACAATCTGAAGACCCTGGTTATTTTTAAAAGAATTTCGATTTGTTTTTATCGATGCAGAAGTTCTGAAATATGGATGCACAAAAAAAAAAAAACTAGGCACCTCCACTTTTTCGCGGGAAAACGGCATAGCGTAATGAAAAATGCCACAAACTTAACGAAAATCAAGTTTTATCATCAAAATGCTTATGTTCAACTTATTAAGGTGAAAGACCAAAGTATTTTTTAAATTTTTTAATATTTTCTAATACGTTCTAAATTTTGGTTAAAGTCTTCTTTTGTTTACGTCATCGCGGTGCTGTTAAATAAAATAACATTGATTTTTTTGCGCTTTTTTTCCGTTGAAAACACATTGATTTGGAAATTCTTGTAAAAATCAAGTAATTGTCCGACTTTAATGAAATTTTCAGGACTTATTCACAAATGAATGAAATTATTTTTTAAATATTTCTTTCTAGAAAATTTTGGTAAAAATTTTTTTTTTTTAAATATGTTACACCCCACTTATTGTCCTGAAATTTCGTTCAAAACCTTTTTATTTCCTGAAAAAAAAATTTTTTTTTAAAGTAAGAGTCATTAGAGATGGTAAATCACCTACTTTTTTTTTCAAATTTACACAAACTAAAAAATCTGCTCTGAATTGAAAAATAATGAATCCAATAAATCTATGATATTACTTAATTAGAAAAGTTTTTAATTGCTTTTGTAAATAAGTAATATTAAGGTCATTATTGCCTGAAGAAATAATTTTTTTCTGATGAATAATTAGATTTTACAAGAATTTTTTCATTTGTTTTACATTTTAATTATAATAATTTATAATAGTTTAAAAATCGTGCAAAATTCTGTATTAGGCTATTTCCTTGTGGTAGTTAGTAATTAAGTAGAAACAAAATTTACGAGTTCAAAATTGCAAAGTTTAATAAACTTAGTTGTGCTAATTTTTTTTCAAATAATTTTTTATGTTGTATTTTTTTTACTTAATACGTTCCTTATTTCCATGTACAATAGACTGAAATTGCCATTATTATAAAAAGAGTTTTGTCCCTTTCAGTAAAACTAAAAAAAAACGTTCACTCAGATTTCTAATAATTTTCATTTATGGTTATCCGTAGTAGCAGTCATCACTCGTCAATCAACACGTAGATCAAATATTGGATAAAAATAACAGTACCAATCGTTAATAATTGGTTGTATATTACTTTTTTTTTATGCTAGAAGTAACTAATATTTCTTTTAAATCAGATTAATTTAACATTAAATTTTCTAATTTTACTAAAATAACGTGTCAGAAACTTTTTAAAATATTTTTAAAATCGATAAATTTGTGTTTGTTTACAAATTTCTTAAAATTAAGAAAATGGCGGGAATTAAGAAAATTTAAAATTCCAAAATTAAATTTGACATTCCAATGTATATAGTTTCTATCTGAAATACACCAGAATTGTTTCCTTAATGGAAATAATAAATTTAATGATTAAACTTTCAATTAAAGCTAAAATGAAATCTTCAAGCATGTTTTTTCACTTTTAAAAATTTATTTTAAAGTTAGGTATCGAAAATTTTGCCCCAAAAAGTGGAAGTACCGACACAAAACCAATAAATCTCTTAATAAAAAGTTAGATATTTTAAGGGTTATCCCCCCACTTACGAGAAAAAAATAAACTTCTAATGAAAATTGTCGTCTGCTACACCATAGATAATTTTTGACCGGGTTCGGTGGTCAATCCGACGTCAATAAATCGATTAACATATCAGAAAAACAAGACCCCGTGGTTAGAAAATGATTGCATACAACATTTTATGCTCTCTATAAGTAATATTTGTTTTTCAAATCAGATTGAATTTGCTAATTTTCCTCAAATAACTCAAATATATATTTCATTTTTGCAATATTTTTAAAACTAAGCAATAAGTTTTGTTTAGTTTACCAATGTCTAAAAACTGGCTGATTTTATCTATCTTGCTGAAAAAAAAAATAAAATAAAACAAAACTCTATTCCAATCAATATAATTTCTGTCTGAAATACATCAAATTATTTTGCTTACGGGGTAAATTTAATCCTTTAGCTTTAAAGCTAAATAGAAAGCTTCAGGAAAGATTTTTCACTTTTTTAAAATTCATTTTAAATCTGACGTATATTTACCGAATTCGTGGATGTACCTAAAATGAGTAAAGAAAGATTAAAGACGCAGTCCTCACAAAATGAAAGTATTTTAAACATTGAGTTTGTAAGATACTGATTTCACCAGGCAACGTGTTGTTGAAACTGAAGAAAAAAGTAATGCGGCGCTCTCGAAAATGTGGCTTCTGTGGCATTAATTGCCTATCAATCAATATTTATCTATTCACAATTTATAAAATATGAAAGCCTTTCGGAAAGGTGTACACCACTATACAAGCTGAAACTCGTTTAGAAAATCAGTTTGCTAATTTTTTTGGAATGAGTTTGAGATCCTTACTGGGTACATTGGCATTTTTGCGTCAGACTAAGCCAAACTTAGTAGTTGATAATTTAGGCCCCTAAATAAATAATTTCACATTACTACTAAACTAGTATCGAATATCACTGGGGCAACTCACACTTTTTTGTGGTCTTGTAACAGATTTAAGCTTCATGACTACTAACTAGTGTAAATTATTATAAATTCGATTTTCATTGTGTAAAATTAAATAAAGAATTACAATAAGTAAAGGAAGAATTAAAAAATTAAATCAAATATGAATTAAAAGATTAAATAAAGAATTAAAAAGAATAATTTTTTAAACTGGTACTTTTGCGCATGCGTAAAATCACGCGTTTCGTGCAAAGATTTTTTATATTAACTTGCGGAGATAAAGTGTCTATAAAAATGGTTAAATCTTGGTACATGAAAGATATATTTTCGAAGGAAGATCGACGTCTTGAATATCACTTGGATCCCGATCAACCTGTCAGTTTGGATGATTTGGAGAATATTGGAGTGAAGTACTGGAAAGTAAGAGTTAAACAAAAACTTTGATCGTGTTTTTAGTTTATCACCAAAAAAAAAAAAAAAAACTAAAAAGGTACCTTAACAGATTTGATATATACGTAAGATTTAAAATTATTTTAAAAAAATGATAAGCTTTCCTGAAGCTTCCAATTTAGCTTCAATGCTAAAGGATTAAAAATTTACCCGGTAAGCAAAATACTTTGGTGTATTTTAGACAGAAATTATTGATTGGGATAGACTAGAATTTCATTTTTTTTTTTTTTTTTTCAGCAAGATAGATTCCGTCAGCCATTTTTTAGACATTAGTAAACACTAACAAAACTTATTTAGTTTTAAAAATCTTGCAAAAATGAAATATTTCTGAAACGTTATTTGAGGAAAATTAGCAAATTTAAAGAAGTTAACCTGATTTGAAAAAAAAATATTACTTATAGTGAACATAAAATGCTGTATACTATCATTTTCTAACCACGGGGTCTTAATGTGTTAGATTTATTGACAGCCGAGCCCGGTCAAAATTATATAATGTATAGCAGATGACAATTTTCATTAGGGTTTTTTTTTCTCGTAAGGGGGGGGGGGACAACCCTTAAAATGTGACCTTTTGTACATCCAGATTTCAGAAATTCTGCATCGATTATGAAAACAAATCGAAATTCTGTTAAAAATAATCGGTCTTCAGATTGTAATAAGATTAGTAAGATTAGTAAATAGTATATTTTACTTAATAAAAATATTCACTAAAAATTATCTTATTAAAACTGAACTTTAAGGGATTCAAAAAAAGAAATGAAAGCAATTCTTGTAAAAATTCGTTTTTTAATCATCGAACAAATATTTTTTCTTCAGACAGTTGTCTTTATTCATAAAGCTTCTCTAATACTAATAGTTTTATTGCGTATTTTTTTTTCTTTCTTTTTTTTTTTTGTTTGTGCCGATACAGATTTTCGGTAAGACGGTCCAGTTTTGTAAAATAAAATCCATGATTTAAATTCTTTAAAAAATTTTGCTTTTAAAACTAATAGTCACTACAAATTTATATCTCTATGAATTTCTGAAGCTTTCATAAACAAATTAAGGGGTAGAAACACTTAAAAAATTTAAAATGTAGTACAACCACCGACGCAAGAAAAACAAGTTTTTTTGTTTTTTTTTTTTTTTAATCAAAATTTTGAATGTTCTCAAAAGGAGTAAAAAATAAAATTAATAAAATATTTAACAAAGTACTTTGAAATGAATGACCGCGACTAAGTTTGTTTTTTTTTTTTTTTTTTTTTTTTTGTCGATAACTCCAAAACGGTAGGTTTTTAAATTTTATTTAATTGTTAATTCGTGTTCAGCATGTACATTTACATGGAAATATGACGATTTTGGAAAATTTTATTTAGCGCGGGGATTAAAAAGCAAATTTACCGAATGTTTTTAATTTTTTTTTTTTTTTTTTTTTTTTTTTTAATTAAAAATCGTTTCAGATTCTACATTACTTTCTTTATATAGATTGGAATGTCGAATATATGCTCGATCTTTTTTAATTTCTTAAAAGCGACCATTTTCTTAAATTTTAAGAAATTTGTATACAAAAAAAAATTTTTCGATTTTAAACTTTTCCTAAAATAAATTATATATTTTTGACACGTTATTTGAGTAAAATTAGAAAATTTAAAGTTAGAATCTGATTTGAAACCAACATTACTTATAGCATAAAAAAATTGTATCCTAACATTTCTTAATGTGTCTGAATTTTCTCGTGACTTTATTCACGTTATCGATGTTATTGAAAAGTTAAGGTGATGACAGCTACTATGGATGACCAAAATTTATGTAATTTTTTTACGAAATGTAAGCGAACGAATTTTTTTTTGGTTTTTTTTTAACTAGTAATTTTTAAAATATTAACATTTTTTTTTCAACAATTATGTAATATTTATTTTTTATTTAATAATACTTTTTTTCGTCTGGGTTTCTTATTTAATAACTTACTAAACTTAAACAAAAATTACTTCAATGAAATTTAATGACCCAAACTAAAATAAATACCTAGAATAAAATTTAATAAAAAAGTAATTAACAAAAATTAAAACTTTTTTTTTTTTTTTTTTTTTAAAAAAGATTTTTAACCAAAATTTTCAACGTACTAGAAAGGAGTAAAAAAATTTCAAGAAATAATAAAAAAAATACTTTGGTCTTTCCTCTTAATAACATGAATTTTGATGACAAAACTTTGTTTTCGTTGAGTTATGGGCCTTTTTTTCATCATGCTACATTTTTTTTTTTTTTTTTTTTTTTTCCCCACTAACAGTTCACAGACATCAAAAATCAAACAACCTACGACAGTCTGTACTTTTCACATAGTGAAGAAACTGTGGATTCACTAAATTCACTTAATCCAACCCCCGCAACAAGCCCTTTAAAAATTTTCAAATTTTTCACATCTTTTGCTCACGTCTTGTGGGTTTTTCCCGACTAGCTAAAAAAAAACAGGAAAATAGACACGCTAAAATACATCCATATTGAAGGATTGGAAAATGCTAAATTGACTGAGCAAGAATGATAGTGATATTGAATTATATTACCCTTATAGGGTAGAGGTAGTCAGTCAAAGGAGGTAATTCAGAATTATTTCCTTTTTGAATTTCTATACTAAAAATAATCTAACAGTTGTAAAAATAAGTAAAATAAAATTCTTTAAAAATATTTATATGAAAATGACATCAAACTTTACACATTTGATTCTTCAAACACTTTTTTCATTGTACATTTTTTTTCTCCTGTAAATTTTTTTCTTTATAAAACTAAAAAATATTTTTCATCGCCCGCCCCCTCAATTTTCAGTATATTCACAATGTATCGAAATGGGGGCAAAGCAGATGATTGAACGAAGCGGTCAACAGATAACCATCAGTTGACCGGCACCCAGCGTGGGAAAGACCTCCGGATCGAGCTGGGTTGACTGTGTTATAATTGGTGACTAGGATAAGACCCTGTGTATCATAAGTAATGCCGTGGCTAGGTGTGCGATACAGGAGAAGACAACAGAAAACTAGAAGCTCAACCTCAGGACACAAGAGAGCGATCAAAACCGAAAAAGGGTGAAGAAGGTCATTGTAGAGGGGCCCGTGGCGGTTACGGTTTGTTGTGGGAATGGCGGTTGCCACTTGTTGTTGATAGAAGTCAGACGTAGAAGAAACGCAAGGTTCAGATACTCCTGCCCGCCGAGCCCAACTACATAAAAAGGTTGGACTTTGACTTTCCAAAGAAGGAAAAGAAAGCAAACAAAACAAGACCGATAATATATGTATATACAATATATATATATATTATTAACAAGTTACAATACATGGAAACAGTACAAAGGACGAAGTGTTTGTGAATATTCTGTGTGTGCGTGCGTGTGTGTATATTGTGCTTAGCGTGTTTCCACGCTATTCCTTGTTAGCGACTACATTCGAGGTTGATAGTTGAAATCCTCTAGGAATAAGAGAAATTTACCTCGAGGTGTCAGTGCACAGGCCTGAAAGGAAAAAAGAGATCGAGGCGAAGGGTCATTGGCTATTTATAGCCAGGAAAGAGAGACCCCTGGTGAAAGGGTTACGAACTGAAGGACGACATCATTTCGTTGAGAGAGTAGAACCGACGTTTGACTATATAAGGTTCTAAAACTCCCCGAACACTTTTTCTTTGGCAAGTGAAACGACGACAGGACAAGTCAAGTGACATGTAAGAGACTTTTTGGCTTCCAGTTTTTTACCTCGTGATAAATCTTGCATATCGCCAATAGAAGTGTGACGGTTAGCTAAAAAATGAGCGTGTATGGATCAGATGATAGGACCCGATCGCTCTATAAATGCCAGTGAAGTGAACAGGCCTTTGTGTCGGATAAATTTAAGGGCCTGTTGAGAGTATCCAGGGTACAAGTTTATATAGGGGACCCTGGTGAATTAAAGAATTGGCTAACGACTATAGAGAAGATATGGGGGGAAAAAACGAGGAATATTGGAGCGCGGGTTCAAGGTCGGGAAAGCAGCAGGAAGAATAGGGAAAAGAAACCCTTCCACGTGAAATCTGGGCGTAGGACGGGTAGAAGTGCGAAAATTGGGAGAAGGAAGGAAAGGTCTCCAATAGGAGAGATTGGTCATTAGGACAGGGGTTTTATAAGCCTACACTTGGCAGACATGGGTTAGTCTGCTGGACCGGTAAATCCGGAGGTTATCGGCCAAATTTTGACAACCCAAGATGTGCTAGGTGTGGCCTGCTTGGACATGGGACCCTGAAAAGGAAACCTTCAGAGCCCCCCCCCTCCCACGTCAACAGATAAACCGCAAGAAGATAGGGCCAGGGAAAACCCAGGCGCCACTCCAGTACAAAAACTAAGAGGGAGGGTGGCCCATGTAACGATAAGAAATAACACCTGTGGAGAAATACAGTCTCGTAGCAGTAATTGCTGAAAGCATTGAGTGAGGGGAGAGACAGGTTAGATAGAGAATGAGTTGCTTGATAATGAAAACGGAAGAGACAGGTTGGATAAGCTGATGCAGAAGCGGAGAATAGGTAACCTGGAAGACAGAACTTGTCGCTTTTGTTGTTGTTACTACAGTAGCTATTAATTTCTTCCTCACCGCGGCAAACGCGAATTCAAGGAAAAGGAATACACTGGATTTTGCGTAAATAAATGTATAATTTATTTACAATTATACAAAGCCATCAAACTACTACCCGTTACTATTTTAAAGGCAACAGATTGGGAGAGGAAGAGAGAAAAATAAGGAGAAAGAATGTTGGTGGTTGTCGGTTGATGTTCTGTGAAGACGTCGGCGTTAAAATTGATAGCATCGCATTCAGTGTGCCTGCTGTGTTCTCGGCCAGCTTCTGCGTGTCGACATCTCAGCTTGGTCTCTGACATTTGCGGCATTGAATTGGGGAATTTATATCGGTCGTATCGGCTCCAAATCACAGTTTGGGTCTTTTAACGGGAGTCATTTTTATTGGCCAATATATCGTTCATT